ATTATGGAGACAAAAGCTACCACGTTTACCTCGGCGAACAACGAAGACAGAGGCGTTAAAGCCATCAATCAAATCGAAAAGGAGAAAAGAGTACAAAGCAAGAATAAAGAGGAGAGAGCAACAGCGGAGGCACGGCCAGGACGCGGGCGATGCAATAAAGAAAGTGTAAACATCAGGACCAAGGGAGGGGGTGGGGGCGTGGTAGAGGGGGGTGAGGGGAGGGGTGATTTCATATCAGGAGGTAATACCAAGATATACAACAGTTGCTGTCGGAGGCTTTTGAGAACTTGACTTTGTAGGGCTGTATGTACATTCCTCCGCTTAGCCAGCCAGTCAGACAGATATAATGATAGCAAGACAGAGCTACAGAGAGAGGTAGATAGAGAGAAGAAATATACAAATATCCATCTATATTTCTATCCATTTATTTTTCTGTGAATATGTAACTTATGGTGCAGCAACGACTTATATAAATGGTTTAGCTGGGGGCACCATGATATAAAACTTATACCAAAATATTCCTTCCATTTCTCCCTTATAAAGAGCCTCTTGGGTATAGTGCAGTGCTGGGCCGAGATGGTTGGCCTTCCGGAAAGTTCGAGAAAAAGAATAGAGAAAGGAATAGGAGGTTGGGAAAGAGATACGAGAAAGTTAAAAAATTCAGGATAAAAAAAATAATAAAATAAAAAGTAAGATGATTAGATGACCAACTAAAGAATTTATTTTAGTTTAATTCTTATTGGTATTTCATCAAGGTAAGCCTCTGCTAACAAGTTTAAAGTCATGGTTTAAAAGGGACATCAATTCTGAACAATAAGTATGAATGAAGAGTGAAAATTATTCATTTTGTTGTAGTAATAAAAACTGCTCGTTAAGAAAAAGTAGTTTGATGTTCGCGGGGGAATGTGAACCCATCCCGATAACAGTAAATGAATATAAGTGGAAATGAAACTGTCGATGGTCAATAAATAAACAGGAGCATAATTTTCCATCATCGTTATCAATAAGTAAGAACTTGCTGTTAGTCCCATTCTACACATTACCGAATTTAATTCTCACTACCAAATAACCAGGCTGTCCCTGCCAGACTAATGTGCCTGCCATTGCTTCACTAACTGCCGAATTTGTACATTATCCCATTTTTTTCCGGAGATACCCCACAATGAATTCCATTCAGGTGTTAGCAGCTTTAGCAACTGAAGCGGATGATAATTAATAGTACAGTGTTTATAAGCATTTTTTCCTGACACTGGTTGTCAACAGATTTGCACATACAAAGTGTGGGGGTATTTGTATATGTATGCATAGCAATGCATATATATATATATATATATATATATATATATATATATATATATATATATATATATATATATATATCTGTGTGTGTGTGTGTGTGTGAGTGTGTGTGTGTTCGTTTGTGTAAGTAAGAGGACAGTTGGAAAATAAATCGGTAAATTAAGTTTCTAACCTACTATATCTTCCTTTCCCAAATGAAAATTCTAATACCATATGAAAATATCCAATGAATCAAAGAAACAGTGGTAGGCTCCTTAGACGACCAACGCTTTTGATGGAATAAGAATGTTTTGTAAATTGCACTTACTTTTATGCTTCAATTTTTATGTATAGATTTATTCCTTTACTCATTTATCAATAAATCTATGAAAAAAGAAGTATTTAAGTGGAGGAAGTGTATTATAAATCGGAAGGCTCTTGCACGTTGTACACCAAGTCCGTCCTTCTGAAAGTCAATCCGCCTCTGCACGACAACACCCAGAGTCCTCTAGGGGTTAATACTAGGACCACAATTATTTACCTTCATTATATTCTAAAAGTTTCAACCCGTCTTTGTATTATTTAATAAGGACAGAATAAAACATAAGAATCATGCAATATTCTATAATCATTTAATGTTTAAGCATTAAGTATACTTAGCAAATGAAGCATCATATCGAATACTGTATGAAGGT